AATTATATAAATATGTCCAACTTCAGTAGTAATCAGGATAATGCAAAATAAAATAACAATGAGATCAAGTGTCACTATACTAGTAAAATTTAAAACTTCTGGTAAAAATTAGTAATGTAAACACGTGAGGAAATGGAAATTCACTATCGATGGAAATGTAAATTGGTACAGCCTTTTGGAAAAACAATCACATATCTAGAAAAATTAAAAATGAAAATACTCCTAACATTTCCACTTTTGAGCATACAAACTAAAGGAATTTCTCAAGAAGATTAGGGAAGAATGTTATATTGTTTGTAACAGTGGAAAAATTACTATAAATCTGTTCAAGATTAGGTAAACTAATGTAATATCCACAAAGTAGATAAAAGTGAATAAAGTGAAACTATATAGTTTTTCTGAAGCCACTAACTTGGATTATTTGGATTGTAAGTCAGAGATGTACAGTATTATAAACTTCTTCAGCTCTCTATCAACAGACTTGGTAATTTACATTTGTGGAGATTTCCCCCTAACTGATCATTATTACTGATATTTCCCTAAGTTTAAGATTTTTTTCCTAGATATTGACTTCTTTGAATCTATTGTGGGGGGAGGAGTAGCATTCAAAAGATATTTTGCTGCTTCATTATTTGTTCTTCTTTATAGGACTAATGTTTCAAGCCAGACTCCCTCTGCCAAAAGAAGTTTGGGATTTCTTCCTCAGCCAGCTCCTCTTTCTATTAAAAAACTGAGGTGTAACCAGGATTACACTGGCTGGAACAAACCAAGAACGCCCCTTTCCTCTCACCAACAGCAACAACTGCAGGGGTAGGTCAATTCTTTTATTTTACTTTCTTTTTGATGAAATGATCCAACTGAAGTGTGCTTTGTTGGTGTAAAAAATAACGAAAGGAGTCACATTAATTATAGTTCTAAAATAGTTAGAAATTAGATCACTTATTAAAGATTATTACATCTATAAGTAATGTTAAGTCCATTATCTGGTCTCCAAACAATTTTTTAACTTTTAAATATGTAATATTCATTTTAAAACATAAAATGTATGTTCTGCAACTCATATACTTCATCCTACTTCTGAGATACTTATATATATATATACTTATATATATATATATATATATATATATATATATATCTCCTCACCAGTCCCTTTATGGTTACATTTTTATTAAATATAAAAATGAGATCATAGGATAATAACTGTAGTAGTAATAGTAGCTGTCTTACCTAAAGTGTTTATCATGTGCCAAATACTGTGTGCTAAATGTTTAAACTGATTTTTTTATTTAAATTCTTACAACAGGTCTATGAGATAGATATATTAAAAATCTGCTTTTATAGCTAAAGTAACTAAAGCCTAGCAAAGTTAATTAACTTGCTCAAAGCAGTATAGTCAGTACTATGGCAGTAGTAAATCCAGATAATCAGACTCCAATTGCATTCTTAACCACTGTGCTATATTGCCTGTATGTTCTCTTTTACTGCACATTAATCATGGGCACCCTTATATATTAATATAACAGTGGGCACCCTTATATATTAATATAACACTTTGAACCATGTTAGTGTACATTTAGGTTTCCCTGTTTTGCAATTACATTCTAGGCTATAATGAACATTCTTATATACATGTGTTTTTAATACTTGTTGGAACTTTTCTGTAGGATAAATTCTTAGAAGTAGAATTGTTAAGACTAAGGGAGGCAGTTTGAAATTTTGATTAGTCTTACCAAATTCCCTCCTACCAGCTTATTTGTTTTTTTAATCTCACTCAAACTATTGCTTTTATAGCAGTTTTAAATTTACTACTTTGCTTGAATGAGTGGTATCTGCCAATTTGGCTAATTCACAGTAGTTTATATGCTGCATATATCAGCAGAAATTATCATAAAGTTTGCAGGGAGAACATTTCACCTTCCTCTCTGCTTACCTGTTGCTTTCTTTGATCCTTGTCCTTTCTCCTCTATCTTCTACAATGTTTGCCTTCCAATTTAATACTTAAGTTCCTTTGTTCTTCATTCTGATTGTTCTGCTACAATTATTATCTTGCTGTCTCCTTATGAGACAACATTCTTATATTGGTCTTATCTATCCCATTTTGTGGCCATTCTTCATTCAGATCTTGTCTCTGTCTACTATGATCTTATTTGTCTCATTTTCCTATTGCCTCCTCTTGTGTGTTTTATAGTTTACTTCTGGCCTGGTGGGCTCACGCCTGTAATCCTAGCACTCTGGGAGGCCCAGGTGGGAGGATCACTTGAGGTCAGGAGTTCAAGACCAGCCTGAGCAAGAGCGAGATCCCGTCTCTACTAAAAAATAGAAATTATCTGGACAACTAAAAATATATAGAAAAAATTAGGCGGGCATGGTGGTGCATGCCTATAGTACCGGCTACTCGGGAGGCTGAGGCAGAAGGATTGCTTAAGCCCAGGAGTTTGAGGTTGCTGTGAGCTAGGCTGATGCCACGACACTCTACCCTTGGCAACAGAGCTAGACTCTGTCTCCAAAAATATATACATATATATAGTCTACTTCTGGTCTCTGTTATTCACCTCCTGCAGATTTTCTTGACAGCCTCATAAGTTGCCCACCTTTGGTGCTTCAGGCTCCTCCACTGTTTCTTTCATTTCTGTATAATGCCCATACTCATCTCTAGAAATATATCTTTCCTTTTTTCAGACTTCTTTCAGGAATTAGAGTATAGTATGTCCAGTGGTATAAGTACTCAGGACTAAGGACTCCATTAAAAAAAAAACTGAGTAGAAAAACTACCAGGTCTAGAGGATAACGGAGGCTACATAATTCCAGTGTTCCTCCCAAATTCTCCAGAAAACAAACAAAAAACATAAAGTTAATGAGGAGTACAAAGAAAAGTACACAAAGCCTATGCTTCAGCATTAGTGGGAGACAAAGAATACCATCACCTTTAAATTACCTTCTTAAGTAGAGAAGCAAACCAAATTCCTGCAGTGTTCCTATATTCTGCTGCTTGAGCCTGTGGATGCCGAGGGTTGGGGACAAGAGCTTTAAGAGATTCCATGAAAAGAATATATAGGAGTGGAAGACGTATATGAAACACTGAACAAAAATCACTCCCAGAAAGAGAAAATCAAATACTTAAGTACTAAAATACTGAGTATAGGTCTGGATCTTGGTAGTTTACAGCACTGGTTATAGGGAAGAGGCTTGAAAGTAGGTGGTCCCAGAAATAATAGCCTCAAAGAATCATTTCTTGTATGGGAGAGTCAGCCAAATCTGGAGACTTGGTTTAGAAGCAAGAGAAGAAAATAAGGATTGTCCCAGAATGAAAGGGAAAGAAGATACACCAACCTCTCTTTCTCCCCTCCCTTCACCACCACCATCATAATCCATTAAAGAAATGGCACATTACTAAACTAACAGAAGAGAGAGGGCTTTAGTTAGGACCCTTTCCACAAAATGGAATATAAAAAAGTAGGTCACTTCCATATAAAACAACTATAAGAAAAAAACGGAAACATGAATCAAAGTATTTCAGCCAATGAAAATTCAACCCCCCAGAACTAACCATGGAGTAAACTTAAAGGGGAATTAATTATCCTGAAACACCCATATGGAAATATGAAAAAAGTACTGTAAATGAAGAATTCAAACTAAGAATTAAAATGGCCAAGAAAGAAGAAATGAAATCACAATAGCTTGAACTCAGAAAAGAGAGAGAAAAAGGAAGACATCATCATATCAAAAATGAAGTCTACATTAAAGATGCCCATGGGAAAATGAACTCAAATAAAAATTTAATAATGGAACTTGAAGAAAAGCAGAAAAATAGCTATTAAAAAAAGAAGTAAAAAAGATCAGAAAGAAGATAGTTGAACTGGAAAAAAGGCAAAGAATGTCCCATGTTATATGTAATTAGAGTCCCTAAAGAAGACAATCAAAACACTGAGCTAGAACTAGTATTGAAAACTGTAATCTACTTACTGACTCTGGCTCTTGGAAAAAAAGAAAACTATAATCCAGAAAAATTTCCCAGAAATAAAAGTCTTTATATATTGAAAGAACTTGCCAGGTACCTAGAAAATAGACCTGAATAGTTATGACATACCTTAGTACAACTATTAGACTTTATAGACAAGGAAAAATTCTCAGTTCCTTGATCTAAATGCTGAAATAGGCCAACGCGGTGGCTCACACCTGCAATCACTAGCACTTTGAGAGGCCAAGGCAGGAGGATTGCTCGAAGCCAGGAGTTCAAGACCAGCCTAGGCAACATAGCAAGGCCCTGTCTCTGCAAAAAAAAAAATTAGAAAAATTAGCTGAGTGTGGTGTTACACACCTGTAGTCTCAGCCACTTGGGAGGCTGAGGCAGCAGTATTACTTGAACCCAGGAATTTGAGGTTGCAGTGAGATACGATGATGTCACTGCACTCTAGCCAAGGCAGCAGAGTAAGATCCTGTCTTAAAAAAAAAAAAAAAAAAGCTGAAATAATTTATAAGGCAGAAATAGACTGGCATCAGATTTCTCAAAATCATTATGCAAAGCCAAGATAACAATGAATGTCATTTTCAGGAAACGTGATGAAAGATAAGTAAACAAAGATTTTGTGCCAACCCAAACTGTCAGAAATGCAGGCCAGAGAAAAGAAGTTTGGAAGTTTATGAACTCGGAGTACTGTACATATTTCCTCTTCCTAAGGACTCTCCAGAGAATGAGCTTCTTCAATCCAAGAGGTGACTAGAATAACGTTGAGAAAAGGTAGAGGTAAACATTTCATATGTTCAGTTGTAGAGCTAACAATGGTGGGGATACATATAGAAGAATGGTATGTAAACATCATGTCTTCTGATAAAGTAGTAAGATTGCACCTGAAAGAAAATGGGAGAAGAGAGAAAGGAAAATGTAGAATAATGTAATTGACTGTTTTATATTAATGGGCGTGAGTCAAAGGATGCTATTTAAAATGGACAGACTAGACGGTAAAAAAGGGTTAAAGGGCTGGGTATGGTGGCTCAGGCCTGTAATCCTAGCACTCTGGGAGGCCCAGGTGGGAGGATCGCTTGAGCTTAGGAGTTCAGACCAGCCTGAACAGGAGTGAGACCCCATCTCTACTAAAAATAGAAAAAATTAGCCGAGTGTGGTGGCGAACACCTGTAGTCCCAGCTGCCTGGGAGGCTGAGGCAGGAGGATCACTTGAGCATGGGAGTTTGAGGTTGCTGTGAGCTAGGCTGATGCCACGGCACTCTAGCCGGGGCAACAGAATGAAACTCTGTCTCAAAAAAAAAAAAAAAAAAAAGTTTAAGAAAAAGCAGTTTACAGCAATATAAAAAGTCTAAATACAGATGTAACCATTAAAATAAAAATTATGAGCCTCCTTAAAACCAAAAGAAACATTCCTAAAAGACATACCAAATAGAGAAATAAAAAAAAAACCACACACACACACATAGCATGACAGAATTGAGACCAAACATATCAGTGACATTAATAAATGTGAGTGGGACTGGGCGCGGTGGCTCACGCCTGTAATCCTAGCACTCTGGGAGGCCGAGGTGGGCGGATCGTTTGAGCTCAGGAGTTTGAGACCAGCCTGAGCAAGAGCGAGACCCCGTCTCTACTAAAAACAAAGAAATTAATTGGACAACTAAAAACACATAGAAAAAATTAGCTGGGCATGGTGGCGCATGCCTGTAGTCCCAGCTACTCGGGAGGCTGAAGCAGGGGGATCGCTTGAGCCCAGGAGTTTGAGGTTGCTGTGAGCTAGGCTGACGCCATGGCACTCTAGCCCAGGCAACAGTGTGAGACTCTGACTCAAAAAAAAAAAAAAAAGGGGGTTAAAATAAATGTGAGTGGGCTTAACCCTTCTATTAAAAGAAAAATCCTTGGGTCATACTTTCTTCTTCAGGTTTCTTGAAATGCTACTCTCTTGTTACCTTGCTTTTTATTTGCTTTTGAGAAGTCTGGTGACAGTCTAATTCATTTGCTCTTATAAGTGATTTTATCTTTTTGCTTGAAGGCTCTGAGACAGTTTTACTCTAACTGCTTTTTAAGATTTTTCAGCAGTTTTTTAATGATGTGCTTCATTTCAATTTGTGTTTATCCTCAGGATTTGTTAAGCTTCTTGCATCCATGGGTTTCTAGTTTTTATCAGATTTTGAACATTTTTAGCTATTAATTTTTCAGATTTTTTTCTGACCCTTCCTTCTGGATTCCAGTTATATATAATAGTTCATTTGATACTGTCCCATAGGTTACTGATAATATGTTCTATTGCTATGTTTTCAAGTTCACTGACATTTCCTTCTGCAATATCTAATATGCTATTAATCCCATCCAGTGAGATTTTTATTTCAAATATTGTGTTTTTCATCTCAAGAAGTATATCTTCCATTTTTCTCCTTTTTATGTGCGTGTTTTCCTTTGATTTTGATCACATAGATCATATTTTAAATAGTTGTTTTAACATCTTCGTAGTTGGATTTGACTGTTTTGACACTTGTGTTTTTCTTTTTTTTTTTCTTCTCTCTCATCCATCTGATGTGTTTAAGTTCTTTTGGGTTGAATCTAGATATTCTTTACTCTAAGACTAATTTGCTTCCTCTCCTAAATCATGGCCCCTCTGAGGTATCTGTTAATACTCCATGAATTCATCTGCATTCTGACTGGTGGAAGTTCAAACAATTTTAGGCCCTGCATGAGCTCTGGGAATTGTTTGGCTAATAGCTCCCCAATAATCATTCTTTTCCTTGAAATTCTTCTTGACTGGTGTTTCACCCTATGCAGGCACAGGTTGGTTTTAGCCAAATATTCAAGCAGACTCCTATGCAGATTTCTGGAACTCTTCCTTTGCGTAGCTCCCTTGTCTCAAGTACTCTGTCCCAGAAATCTTAGCAGTCTCAGCCTCCCGAACTCCAGTTTCTTTCAGCTCAACTCAGGGAGATTTCTGGACTCTGTTTAGGCCCTCCCTGGACTGCAGTTTACAAATTGCTCCCTGACAGAAAACCTGGGTATGTGGTAGGGCTCACATCATTGGTTTCCTTTCTATTAGGGATCACAGTTTTGCATTGCCTATTGTCCAGGATCTGAAAATAGTTATTTCTTATATTCTTTCTGGTTTTCTCATTGTTTACAGTGGGAGGAGTATTCCAAACCCTGATACTAACTTATAGTCAGAAGCAAAAGTTCTCTCAGATATTTAAAATTGACATCACCAGTGAGCAGTATAGGAATATCGTGCATCTCTGGATGTGATGCCTTTAGAAGGACACAGTATCACTGTGTACTCTTCCAGGCTGGGCTGAATCTCATTGTGAGGATATAGCAAACCCAGTAAGAGGAACATTGCATTAAAAACCAGGGATAGGGGCTTAGCATGGTGGCTCATGCCTATAATCCCCAGCACTTTAGGAGGCCAGGGCAGGAGCATTGCTTGAGGCCAGGAGTTCAGCACCAGCCTGGGCAGCATAGCAAGACCCTGTCTGTAGCAAAAAAAAAAAAAAAAAATTAGCTGGGTGTGATGATGCATGCCTGTAGTCCCAGCTACTGGGGAGGCTGAGATGGGAAGATCACTTGAACCCAGGAGTTCAAGGCTGCAATGAGTTATGATCACACCACTGCACTCCAGCCTGGGTAACAGAGCAAGAATCTCTCTTTTGAAAAAACCAAAAGCAAACAAAAAAAACAGGTAGGAAGGACCATATTCTTCAAAAACGTCAGTGTCATGAAAAGAAAGCTGAAGAATTATTCCAGATTAAAGGAAACTAAAGAGATGTGAAAACATTGGACTGAATCTTGTACTTACGGGAGAAATAGAAAAAGCTATAAAGTATATTCTTGGGTCAATTGACAAAATTGGATTAAGAAAGTATATTATATAAGACTATTGTGTCAGTGTTAAATTTACTGATGCTAATAACTGTTCTCTGGTTATTTATGAGAATATTCTTATTGTTATGAAATACACTCCGAAGTAGTTAGAATTAAAGGCATGTGATATATGCAACTTACTCTCAAATGGTTCAGGAAAAATATGTGTAGAGAGGGGTATTAAATGATAAAAGTGCATGGCGCAAAAGGTTAACAGTTGGTGAATCTGGATAAAGAATATTATTATTACAACTTTTCTGAATGCTTAAAAATATTTCCAAATAAAAGGTTTAAAAATGTGTATGTACTTAGGGAAAGTGTTTAGTGATACTCATTAAAGCCAAACACATGGGCCGGGTGCGGTGGCTCATGCCTGTAATCCTAGCTCTCTGGGAGGCCGAGGTGGGCGGATTGTTTCAGCTCAGGAGTTCGAAACCAGCCTGAGCAAGAGCAAGACCCCGTCTCTACTAAAAATAGAAAGAAATTAATTGAACTACTAAAAATATATAGAAAAAACTAGCTGGGCATGGTGGCGCATGCCTGTAGTCCCAGCTACTTGGGAGGCTGAGGCAGGAGGATAGCTTGAGCCCAGGAGTTTGAGGTTGCTGTGAGCCAAGATGATGCCACGGTACTCTAGCCCAGGCAACGCAGTAAGACTCTGTCTCAAAAAAAAAAAAAAAAAAGCCAAACACATATATTCTATGACCTAGTATTTTCCTTTTCTGAGCATATACTTAAGAGAAATGAGTAAGTTATATCTCAATGAAAAACTTAAAATTATAAGTAAGAATGAATAGCTCTTTGAGTAAGCCCCCAGTCATGTTTAGCGTTCATTTGAAATGTGTGATTTTCCATTAGATTAAGTTGTCATTATAATGTTCTAATACAGTGGTTCTCAAAGTGTAATCCCTGTCAGCATAATCTGGTAACTTGTTAGAAATGTATGTTTAGCACCCTTTCTCTCTAGACCTACTGAATCAGAAACTTAGGTTGAGATCAAGCAATATGTAGTTTAACAAGCACTCCAGGTGATTCTGACACATGCTAAGTGGAGAGCCCCTGCTACATTGAATATACTTCAGGAATTACTGTTGCTTTCTAAAGTACTGTTTCTTTCATTTTCAGCTTCTCCAATTTGGGAAATACCTGCTATATGAATGCTATTTTACAATCTCTATTTTCACTCCAATCATTTGCAAATGACTTGCTTAAGCAAGGTATCCCATGGAAGAAAATTCCACTCAATGCACTTATCAGGTAATTGTTACGGACTTACTGAATACTTTTTTACCTCATTAGCTATAGAATAATGGAATTTTAGACACTTAAAATTTTATGTGCCATTGTTAGTAATTAGTCTTTAAAATACCATGCCATCCAGTGTTTTATAAACATTTTGCTTTACCAGATGCTTGTCTCTTTTATTTTACCAGACGCTTTGCACACTTGCTTGTTAAAAAAGATATCTGTAATTCAGAGACCAAAAAAGATTTACTCAAGAAAGTTAAAAATGCCATTTCAGCTACAGCAGAGAGATTTTCTGGTTATATGCAGAATGTGAGTACGAATTATTTTTAAACGTTTTAGAGATAGGGAAAATTGAAATGATTTTAGTGTGTTTCTTAATTTTTATTTTAAAACAAGATTTGTGTATATGTGTTCATGATCATAGGTTAAAAAATCTGGGGAGTTATGGTAAGGTTCAATATGACTCTTCTTTTGTATTATATTTTAATATGTAAATGTAGCTGTCCAGTGCAAGAACTTTGGCTTTGTTAGCTACAAAGGCTATTTTAGAAAAGTTAACTGTTTTTTTTTTGTGTATGTGCGTATTTTTTTTAGTGAAGTGAAGATTCATTCATTCATGCTAATGCAACTGATAGTTAAGAAAATTAAGTTAAGAATATAAAATCTGTCATTTGTTTTTATTCATGAAATATGCACCCCCAAATCCTTATTAAAATAAACCTGACCTTGTTCACCTGTCATTGACTTCCAGGTGCTTTAGTTGTATTAATCACAATGTAAATATGCTATTATTATGACAAGAAATGTTTGATCTTATTAAGGATGTTATTGTCTTCTTAGGATGCTCATGAATTTTTAAGTCAGTGCTTAGACCAGCTGAAAGAAGATATGGAAAAATTAAATAAAACTTGGAAGTCCGAACCTTTTCCTGGAGAAGAAAATTCACCAGATATTTCTGCTACCAGAGTATATACTTGCCCTGTTATTACTAATTTGGAGTTTGAGGTTCAGCATTCCATCATTTGTAAAGCGTAAGTAATCTCTAAGAAAATTTTTTTCCCCTTTTAATTCTTCATGGCACATGATTAAAACTCTTCTGTGTCATATCAAATGCTATGAATTCTTATCTCATCTTCCTTCCTATGTCATGGGGAAAACATCAACCCACAGATTATACCAAACCTCTTTTTTCAGAGTCTTAATCTTTCTATAAAAATGCTTGGTGGAGTGAGAACTGAGGACAATTGAAATACTTTGTTATATGGTTTAGTATTAACTAAGCAGTTAATTTTGATCTGTAGATTTTTTTATTCTTTTCATTGTTGTATGGAATAGCGAGTTGTTTGGGAATACTTGCTTTCTTTTTCACTGGGAAAAAACCCTCCATGTTAGTTGCCTTTTTTTTTTTTTAACTAAATTTACTAAATTTACCAAATTATTTTTACTAAAAATGTTTGTTTTACAAAATAGGCCAAAATTTGAATTATTTTTAACTTTTGGAATGCTTTTCAGCCATATTTACAATAATGATTTGGATTTACTTTCTACATTTAATTAATTTCCATGCTCGTCATCATGACTTCTATACCATGCAGTTTACTTCAAAAGATTTTATTTTGATTATTCTTCCAGTTATGTGTAATATATCTCTGAATAAATATTTCTTGGAATGGAATTGTTCAGCATCCCTATATAAGTGAGAATTATCTTTGTGGCTTTCGCACATGACTTAATACAGAATTATTGAGTCACACAGTGTTTACCTCTTAATGTATTATATATACTGCCCCATCATATCCTGTTACTCTGTGACACTCATATGGAACCTGACTTTGGGGATTTTTTTCTTTTTCTTGAAAATTTGTGGTATTGTTTATTTTTGAAATCCACAGTTTCACTAGTTTACATCTAACTATTCACACTTTTTATTAATTTTACCTTTAACATGGTAGAACCTTTTCATTCTAAGATTTGAGTTTTTCTTTGAGCTCAGGAAAACTATTCTCTAAATACTACCTCTTCCATTTATTCTAGAATTTTCCTCAGATATTTAAATCCATATATTGCTTCTCTGATTCTGTCTTCCATATCTATTTTTCTAAGGCTGCTCAAAATGATAGTGTTCACTAACATCTTTTTTAGCTATAACATTCTAACATTTTTTATTAGAATTTTAATAAAGATAGTAGTTTTGCATCACTAGTTTGTGGCATTGCTTGCCTTCTTTCGTGATTTCTTCAGTCTCTTTCCCCCAATAGATAAATGATTTTCTAAAGTGCGTGTTTTCTCCCTCCCTCTCTCCCTCTCTCCTCTCCCCCTTCCCCCTTCCTCTTTCCTTCCCTCCCTCCTTCTCTCTCTCTCTCTCTCTCTCTCTCTCTCTCTCTCTCTTTAATAGACTCTCTGTTGCCTGGGATGACCTTTCAAAGGGCAGGGGGAGGATCAAATTGGCCTCACTTTCCAGACCCAAGAATTATTCTGTGCACAAGGCATGGTGCTTTCCCCCAAGGAAATCTGCTTCCCTTGCTCATCATGCCATCCTTCAACCAGAGCATTTTCTACCCCACAGTCTTCTTACTGGCATCCCAGTCCTTGAAACCTCTCACACCTGGATCTCCATCCCATTCTGTTGTCTGTGCCATTACTGTCTCTAGGAATGGCATTATTCTGTTGTTATTATCACTGAGTCAAGCCTCCATGAACCCATCCATGTACTATATCCTCTCCATGCTATCCTTCATGGGCTTAGCTCTGTGTCTTTCTACATCGGTCATCATACTGGATATTTTCTGGTTCAATGCTTGAGAAATCAGCTCTGATGCCTGCACTGGCCAATCAGTCTTTAAAAACATTTGGATCTATAGTTTGTCTCCTTGTAAAAGCTGGCAAGCCCAACAGCAGTTAATAATGTGATAAACAGCTATTTATCTGTTCCTTCTAATGCACTTTCTAGATAAAATTTGTGCAAGTCAGAGAGAGAAGCAAATTTTTCAACTGTTATTATTTCATTGAATTGTGGGGGTACCATTCAGATTTGTTTTGATAGGAACATTTCAGTAGTCTGTGTTAGAAATGGCTACTGGCAGCCCACCACCTCCCTTAGTCATGTCTGGGCAATTTGGCAGTGGGATCATTCGGGCAGCACAGGAAGACAGAAGACTGTCTTAAAAGCAGTGGCTGCTGTACTTTGCCAACAGCATTAGGCACTCCAATTGTGTAGCACCCAGATGTTGGGTGTGCAGTTGAGGTGTGTCCACCACTGCAGTAAGTGGCATGGGTCATGGAATGTGGGTGCACCAGGTGGCCAAGCTGGGCAATGGCACAGGGTGTACCAATACAGGGGATGGTGTTCTGTGGGGCCACAGTAGCAGCAGCAGTATACCTACGTCCTTGAAGGCTTTGCCTTAATTGCTTTGTTAGTAATTTTCTTTAGGACAGTTCTCTAAATATGAAATAGTTTGTCTGAACAAAGATTCCACATACTTTATCCTTTGAATTGTAATTTTGCATGTTTATCCTCTGTCTCATCTGGCTGCAGTCTTCCCTATTAGTAATGACAGTTCCATACTCTAAGTGATCAGTACGAAAATAGTAGTATATTTCTTTCTCTCAACCTGCTTCTCATATGTCAGCAAATGCTTTCAGCTCTGTCTTCAAAATATATCAAGAATCTTTTTACCACCTCCACTGCCACCACCCTGGTCCAAGCCATTATCATCTCTTGCCTGAATTGTTGCAGCATCTTTTAAACTGGTATATAGGAGGCTTCTGCCCATGTCTCTCTGCATTCTATTTCAAACACGTTAGCTAAAGTGATACTTTCAAAATGGAAGGTAGTTCATGTCAGCTCTCTGCTCATAGAATTAAAAAGCTATGACCTGTGTAACCTCATATAATCTGCCTCTGGACATGCCCCCTATTCCCAGTTAACTCTCTGACTTTGTCTTCTGTCACTCCTTCCCCTTGCTTGTTCCATTTCAACCAATTGACTTCCTTGGTTTTGTTCAAAAATGCCAGGATCATGGTACTTTAGGGCCTTTGCACTTACTGCTTCCTCTTATCTTGAATTCTTTCCCAATATTCTCACATAGCTAGTGCCATCACTCCTCCAGGTATTTACATAAGGGCCATTTGCTCAGTGACACATTTACTTGCCTCCCTGTCTAGAATTCCATCTATCTACTTTGATCCTTAGCTATTCTATTTCTTACTGTGCTTTTTCCTCCTCAGCATGAATCACTAACATAGCAGTCCCCAGCCTTTTTGGCGGAGCTCAGGTGGTGATGTGAGCGATGGGGAGCAGCTGTATAGATGAAGCTTCGCTCACTCACCTGCCACTCACCTCCTGCTATGCGCCCCTACCACTACCACCCCAGTCCCCCGGTTCGTAAGTTTCATTGAAGACAGTTTTTCCATGGACTGGATAAGGAGCAGAGCTCTGTGGCCCAGTCCCTAACAGGCTACAGACCAGTACTGGTCCACAGCCCAGGGGTTGAGGACTGCAGATGTGACATACTATTAATATATGTTTTACTTATGTGTTTCTTTCATTGTCTTTGTCCTCCAGTACAAGGAAGCTGTATGAGGGGAGGTATTTTTGTCTTGGTTTATTCACTGATATAACTCCAAAGCCTAGAACATTTTCTCATATATAGGAGGCTGTATTAGTTTTTCAGAGCTGTGTAACAAATTACTTCAAACTTATTAGCTTAAAACAACACAGCTTTGTAAGTCAGAAATCTGGGTGTGGTGTGGCTGAGTTCTCTGTTTAGAGTATCATGAGGCTAACATAAAGGTATTGCTGCCTGTGTTCTCATCTGGAACCCAGGATCCTCCTATCTCATTGAAGTTGTTGGCAGAATTCAGATTCTTGTGGTTGTGGGATTGAGGTGCCCGTTTTCTTGCTAGCTGTCAGCTAGGACTACTCATTTCCTAAAGGCTGCCTGCAGTTCCTTGCCAAAGGCCTCCATAGGCAGTTCACATCTGTGCTGTTCGGTTTTTTTCAGGCTAGGAGGAGTAATCTTTCTCACATCTGGTCCCAGACTTCCTCTGTTTCTGCCCTCTAGACCTGGATTTAAAGGGCTCATGTGATTGGATCTGACCCACCTCGATAATCCCCTTTTTGATTAACTCAAAATTGAGATTAGTAATCTTAAATTGTATCTGTAAAATTCCTTTTGCCAGGTAAAATGGTAATGTCATCATCATAGGTGTGATAGCTCATCATTGTCACAGGTTCTACTCACTCAAAGGGGACAAAATTATACAAAGGCAAGGGCCATCTTAGAATTTTGCCTGTCAGAGAGGTACTCAATGTTTGTTGAATGAAGAACAAATACATTCTTACACTCTTCAGTCTTCGACTGTGGCAGTAGGGATCTGGGGTGGAAAATTTAATATTACTAAAAATGCTAATAAGACAAAATGAAAAGCAGTCAGCTAAAATTATTTAAAAGAAGTAAATGTGCTTCCAGGTAAATTGAGCATGTTGTTTTGGTCTCTGAGCCCACTTTTTAAAATTCTATAAAAATATGTTCAATACCTAACAGAAGTGTCTATACATGTGGACCATAGAATTTTTTTTTTTTTTTTTTT